ATCTAAGTGATTGAGGGTTCAGTAACTGAACAATGTATTACATTGCAAAATTAGACATGTTTTTTTGACTGATCGCTGACGAGCTTATATAGCAGTCGGCGACTCGGACCAGCGTCATCCAAGTTGATGAATACCGACTGTATGAATGAATCCAAACGTATAAAGAAAATGCACCCCGCTTTTGACGTTCGCTGTGGGTATGAATGAAACATTTTCTACGCCGCTGGTAAGTTTAATCGACAGACAACACACGTAAAAAACCCACCCCTGGAGGTGCATTCTCCACAACCCTGTTCCAACTCTTCGTCCGCCTACTTCACTTACTTCCTCCGCAACACCCATTCCCCAGTCTCGATCTATCAGCTCAATTCTACCGGCGAGAGGTCTTCCTCTGTTCATATCATTCAGCACAGACAAAACCATGACCACAGCTGTAAGAAGATAGCGCGCTTCTACTCATTGTTCGCTAATTCTCAACCCTCCTCCATTGCATATGCGCTACTGAATTGAACACCATATTCTTTATGATACTGATCTCAACTGGTCACAACCTTAAAGTCCTCCTGCACGACCGCCCTTTCTTACTGGCTCAATCATGACACTTCCCGACCTCTTCCAGTGCTCTATAGCGTAGCCGATCGAACATCCTCTTCGCGTCAACACAGGGAACTGGGAACAACACGAAGACGAAAAATTTGCTTGAATCAGGACCGGGATGTGATCCCTAACTGGTTTCTCCACCTTCACAAGCGCAGTCTCATGGAGCTGGGCGGGGGGAAGTTTTCAGCGTCGTGCGACTGTACCACGTCGCGCACTCTGAAAGTGTTCTCTTAATGGGACCCACCAAATGTCGCGACTCCAATTTGGCGCGACGCTCAAGGAACTTGCGACATTGGGGGAGACGGTCGGGGCCGATGTTCAAATATGTGAAGTACTGTACTGCCGGATGCAATCGGTCTCCACAGGTTTGTGCAGAATTTAGGGTTTTGTGTTTTGGGAGTGTTCGACAGCAAGAATTGTAAGATTTATCGATAGGACGTGAAGCAGTGGACGAGGAGGGAACTGGATCTCAGAGACTTGGAAGAGCCTGGGGATTAGAAGATGAGGGTGAAAAAACAAAAGCAAGTGCGGAGACACGTGAGATTTTTCAAGGCGTGTTGCGGATTCAGAGAGCCTTTCAAGGTCTTGTGCGATGGGAACTTTGTGCACGCAGCGCTTACTGCGCGTATGGGTGGCTTACAGGATGCGTTGCCGAATTTCCTGGGTTCAGCTGCCAAAGCCTTTGTCACGAGGTGTGACCAAATTTTATCCACTTCACCTTTCATCGTGGAGTTTGATTTGTAGACTGGACTGGACGCTTTTGATCTAGGTTTGCACGGTTTCAGGTTCTTGCGAAACCTGACACCCTGAGGTTGATCTCTGGTGCCATTTATAGTGCCTGTGCTACCGTGGAATGTGTAATTGACACACATGGGACGTGAATGCATCTTTATGTTAAGAAGCTGAATTTATATTGTTTTACACTGTTGAATCTGGGTGAAGTGCTGAACGCCAATGGCCCCAAAAAAATTTGAAGCACAAGATTGAATCTTTCGTGAATACCTTGCGAGCGGTTTGGGTCTACAATATGTTCAATCTCATCCTCAATGTACGAACTGTTAGTTTGTTGTTAGTGAGTGCTGTTGCATCATGTAATTTAGAGTAAATTTGCTTCACACTACCTGAATCTTTTGTAGTGTAGGTTCTTATTCTGGTGAGATTGCGGACACGTCGAATCTAATTGGAGCTCTAACAGTACAGTTGTTGTACAATTTAATCTACATTATTATTTATATGGGAGGCTTGACCGGAGTTAACACTTTTCAGTTGAGAGATAGAGGTCAGTATCTTTCACGCATTGACTCCTGTTCTTTCTCCGATGTACAGGTGTGTAATTCAAGAGCTGAGAAAACTGGGTGAAGATTTCTCAGGGACAGTTATGGCAGCCCGTCGTCTTGATATTGCCAAGTAGGTAGCTTATCTCGACTATCATACATATTACTTGGGACTGATCGCATTGAAAGTTCTGATAGTTGTGGTGAGACTGGTGAATCACAACTTTATTAAATTATTGTAGGTGTAGTCAAAAGAGCGCAAAATTGAGGTATCTCATTGTGATTTGTGATCAGGAAGTGGATGGAAGTCTAATTGAGCAATTACGGATAACACAGGTGCAATCACGAACCTACAGTATCAGCTGCGGAATGCGTGGAAGCAATGATAGGCAACAGCAATCCCGAGCATTTTTTCATTGCTACACAAGATTTTGAGCTTCGGAAGAGAATTCGCAAGGTCTGGATGTTCTTCACATTCCAGTTCTGTGCCTGTCGCACATGTGCCATCTCATCGGCTGATGGCGGAACAGCTTTTTCAGCAGCAAACATAAGTGTAGTTTATGTACTAATTTCTGCCTCGAATGGATGTTCTGTCGAAGAAACTTGGTTGCACGACGCAGTGGATTTGTATCAAAGGTTTGCAATTAGACTCCTATTAATACAACATCGATACATTATTGCAGGTTCCTGGAGGTGGTCTTATCTTTGCTCAGAATACTGGTCTCATCATGGAACCACCGTCTCCGCAGCAGGTAGCATATGCTCGCATGAGCGAGGCTGAGAGATTACATATGGCTGAGCGTGAACAGAAGATAATTGAGGATAGAGCTAGACGTAAAGCTGAAGTCGCGTTATCTGCCAAGACTGCGCAAGAAACACCCGGTGACTCCGACATTCCAGCATTAGAGGAAAAACCAGTTGTGAAGGACAGGACAAAACTGAAGCGGAAGCTGCCCAAGGTTGGAATCAACCCTTTGAGCCCGATTATTTATCTCGGCCTATCTTGGCCAAGAAAAGGAGTCCGGAATTGCTGACTGAGAAATGACGAGTGCGACACTGCCTTCATTTGGTCCGGAAGTTCGTTTGCACCGTTGGAACATATTATGAAGTGGGTCTGTTTACATTGCAGGGACCAAATCCGCTATCACAGAAGAAGAAGAAGAGGAAAGTCAGTGAGGAGTCAAAGACTTCGGCGGCCAAAGTAAGACCTCTTGCTATCTAAACTGGTGCTTTGTATGACAGTTTTGTTGTTATTTGAACCTTTATCTCATACGGACTTTTTCTGAAGTGTATGTTACACCTGTGCACCTTTGTTGAGTTCGTATGAGTGACCTTGTCTTCAACATTGGACATGATCTAATTCTTTATTATGCAAATTGTCTCTGTACACGACAGGTTCCGAGCTCAGAAGGAGCCGACGCTTCCACAAAGAGACAAAGACACCGGGTACGGCGGAGGAAAACCAGCGCGACAACTGGAAAGAAGGATGAAACCGACTAGCTTGTAGAATTGCAGTTTATTCCCTTTGGTTATCGGTAATAACACTGGAGGGCACTGCAGGGCATTCGAAGAGAGCCCGAAGTGAAGTCCTCCAGGTTTACTGAATAATTTAGTGCGTGTAGGAGTTTGCAAGCCACCGGTATAGTTTTGCCACCAGAGTTTGGCCTATACTTATGCGAATGTTGGCTTTCTCAAATCAATTTTATACCCTCAAAGTTAAGGCTGAACAATATTAGCGCGATAGTATTGCTCTGTGGTCATGCTTTTGTGTACTCACCCACAGATTTGTATAAAAAATACAGAGTCTAGGCTCGTGCTCTCATTCCTGCTGCAATAAGCTCTTTCCACTCCCCAGTTCAAGCATCCCACTCTACGCTCAGACCTCTTGTTGTCACACACCTGTACTCGGTACCCAATTCCTCCTCCACACACGAACCAGATTTGTTGCATACAGGGATTCTAGTCCTTACATTCTCTTCCTTGCTGCCATCTTAAATTACACTTTCTTTTACATTTCAAATCCTTTCTTCAAACTCAAAACTGTCTTCCTGATTGTCGGATCCCTTACATGCAAGCTCACCGGTTACTTCTAGCTTGTTGTTCATACTCAAACCTGTGCATACTCCCCCTGTCCAACTAACTACTCACATATATCAACTGTTACACAATTATTTGTATTGCGTTATCATCCTTAGTAGATATAGTTTTCTCAAATATTATGTCATCTTCCACTTGCCTCACTTTAATTTTCGTACAACTCTCCTTTATCCCGGGAGGTCTATGCTCCCTTGTAAAATTACTATCCTAAATTTCCTCCAGGTTTTCTCACTAATCCTCGATTTACGAGTCTCAACCTACTTTGATTTTCTTCTTTCAATATTTTTCCATCTTAACAGATCTTCCTTCGCCGTCGACATGGACATACTCAGTACCGATCATACGATTTTCTTTTTCAATCCTCTGTACTAGAGGAAGCAACTTCATGAGTTCCCATGTAGGATTTTAAGACTTCCTCAGCCTTAAAAGTTCTCAAGGTCTCTCCCTCCGTCTCCTTACTTGGAATAACTAGTTGGTGGTGTAGGGTTGGAGCCAGTTTACTGGTAAGTTCTTAGCAGTAGACGAGTCTGGTGCAGTTGCCACAACATGCCACAATGATTTTACCTTCACCAGCCCATGACAACAAGTGCTTCAGCGACTCTTTTCCACGAAGTTATTCAACAATAATCTTGTCCATACAAATGCCTGCCCACCAAAGTTTCGTGCAAATTTTGACCACGAGCATGTTAGTAACCCGAGGTTCAAACTCTAGTCCTGACTCCTTTACCGTAGAAACGTAAAGTCCTCACTCAGCTTTCTACGACAAGGATTGAGGCTGTTAACTGTAAGGCCTCAATCATTCGTTCATGGGGAAGTTTATATTGAGAGTAATTTCCCGGGATGTTTGTACTATTGTACTTTCATCCAGTGAGAAAGTGATTCTAGGGATGAACAATACATTATAGCTAGAAAGTACAAAACAAGTCGTATATGTGTATCGTAGCCTACCATATATACGCGATTATGAATCACATTAACTTCTTATAATTTTTTTAAATAAGACGTAATAAGCTCAAACGTACGTTATATGCTGATATAGCTCAGCTGGTTAGAGCGTGTGGTCGTTGACGTCAAGGTCGGAGATTTGATTCCGCCCTCTGGCGTTTTATTGCAAGAAATAGGTAGATATAATTGTCTGACCGTGTCCTACACCATGCTTATGCAATCACTTTTCCGATAAGAAGTTCTAGCCTTAATCTCCATGGTTTTGGAGATGGTGATAGACTTTTACCATTATTTGTTTACGAAACACCCATAGCCAAAATTTCACAACCATGATAAAAAAAAATTACAAATTCATTCATTCTAATTGAAATGAGCTGGACAACCAACATGATGACGATGAATGAGTTTGAAAATCAAATATTAATGCTTGCAAGTTCTTGAAACAACAATTCGACCTCAATCTAACATGGTAGGGTTGACTTTTTTCCTTGTCTATGATTCTTTACACCTTGTATTCTCTTTATTCAACTCTTCTCACTTCTCTATTCAACTAATTTTCTGACTTAGTTTACAGTTATAATTCCTTCAAATTTGCAAGATATTGTGATTCTCTATTCATATCTTTGCAAAGTGATCCCAATTTATGATACATGAACTTTCCATTTGCAATATTTTTCTCAAATAGGTTATTTTCATATCCATATTGCTTTCAGAGTCACTACAAGCTGTTGTTGTCCAATATTACGGAATTATATTGGACAAAACAGCTGGCCATTTTATATTTCTTACACAATTCTACCTACATCATGTCATTATATACCAACATTTTTAAAAATCTTCATATAACTATTTTCTCGCCTCAGTCATATTTTCTTCTATATATATATATATATATATATGTATATACATAATTTTTTTTATGTTTGTTATACATTCCATCTCCATTTTTGTTCTTACATCTGCATAAAATTAAAATGCACAATCTTTTTGTTTTAAAATCAATGATTTGTTATATTAAATTATTTTATTAACAAAAAATATATTCAAATTTGATGGAGTTACAAAATGAGTTACAAAGTCTTAAACATAAAACTCAATTAGAACAAAATTATGATACTTGAAGGTTTGACTTTGACATTTCACCCAATCAACATGTCCAGAAACACTCACCATTATTATTTTATGGGCGTCTCTAAATAAACTCATTAAGTCATCAACCTAACTAATTTGTATTTTTTTATGTTTTTCTTAATAATCATCTTCATCAATGTTGTTAAGATTCAAAATCACTAAACATTCATAAGAATCTTATCAATATTGCATACATAGTGATTGAGAGAATAATAATATACATAAATATATCCATTAAATTGATACATTAAAAAATTTAAATGCAATGAGATTATGTATGTCTATGTATGTATGTATACATACATACATATAAAAAAACAAAACATTTATTTTTTTAATATACAAAAATATGTTAAAAAATATTTTATATTTGCAAATGTGCTGAAATCTATAAGTTTTCAACTAACAAGCTTTGTCTTAAAATAAGAGCTAATGCTATTTGATTCTATCAATTTTTAAATTATTTAAACCCTATTTTTAATTTTTTTAAATTTTAAATGATATTAAAAAAATATTTAAGTTTTAGTTTAAAAAATTGAAATTTTTATGATAAAATAAAATTATAAATATTTCAATATTAAAAATATTAAATAATTTATAAATAATAAATAATTCTTTTTTAAATAATATGAATTAAAATAACTATATGACCTCTAATCAAGTGCATTGTCTATTGGATGATATAGAATATTTTGTGATTAATTGATGATGTTCAATAATATGTAAAAATTGCTCGATAAATACTTCAAAATTATATCTATATCAATAATAATTGATCCAAAATTACAAATTGCAAAACTATATCCTTCAAAATAAACTTGTGGATCCAATAATACGAAATTTAGACTAATATATTTTTTAAGTGTTATTTTTTTTGTTTTTAAATTTAAATAAATATCAGGTCTGTGTTAGAAATCCTCATTACCCTATCGCATATGATAGGTTGGAGCAAGGTTGGCCTACGTATTCTAGGAGTGCCAGTAGGGACTGAGGATTTTGTTTCACGCTACCTTGACGTTGCATTGGCCGAGTATGTTTTGCATGTAGACGACCTTCCTGTACTAGTAGATCCGCAGGTGGCGTTTGGTATACTATCATCTAGTATTGCTCGTCGACCCACCTATCTTGTTCGCACGGTTCCTCCTTCACCTACATTCATATCACGTTTGACAGCCTTTGATCATCGGACCATGGACATTCGAGTGTGTGACTGGAGATTTGGCAAAGAGACAGACATCTTTGCCAATTTCATGTGGAGGGGTAGGCTTATTATCGATGGAGGAGACGACACCTGCGGCTTTCTTGGCGAGTTGGGCGCTTGTTGTACCTTTGTTATCTTCTCGATTTGTGAGCGCAGATAGACCTATTTTGGAGATATATATGAGGGACGTCGATACGGGATCATTTCCCTTACAGGTATCATTACGACATACGAGAGATGCTTTACCACGGGAGGTACGACATGAGTTTCCATCTTTTTCCTCTTTGGCTACCGATTGGACTAGGGGTCTACAGTCTACATTCACTCTTAGTGGATCCGGCCATTCCTCGTACTACTAGAGCTCGTCTACGTTCTTGCTCGGGCAAGGGTGCAGGCTCGTGGATCTTGGCTCGACCATGCATCAGGGCTTTCCTACTAAGCACCGGCTACTTTCTCCACAAAGGATGAGGTTCCATCTTGGCTTGGTCCATCCATCTACATCTTCATTACTCACATGTGAGTGTGGTATCACTTTAGATGCAGCATGTGTTCATATGACTCGTTGTCCATTCGGAGGGCACAGGATAGCTACCCATGATGCCATTAGGGATGTGGTGTTTGCTATGGCGCGAGAGAGTGGATACCTCACATGGAGAGAGAGCGTTGGTATGCCTTGGTCGGCGACTAGGGTTAGAGGCGGACTGCATTTGGTTCGGGAGGACCAGTCACTGTGGCTGATGTGGTGGTTACAGATCCTACTAGAGATACAGTTTTAGAGGGGGTGATCACCCATCCTCCACGATGGGCGGTGAGTGGAGCGGCGGCAGCAGCCAAGGTCTCCAAGTATAGAGGTATGTAGAGAGGTCACCTCTTTGTTCCTCTAGCTTTAGAGTTATATGGAGTTATGGACACCGACTTCGACATGAGTGTGCGAGAGCCTACCATACTATGCGACATGGGGTATCACTCTCTTTAGCTTACTGTATAGCCTATTTTAGGCAACGTGTTTCCATTACTTTACAGAGGGCACTAGCTGGTGCAATCCATATGAGAGCAATCACGTTAGGTGATGCTTCTTCGGATGCTCCTGTTGTTTGTAGACCTTTCGACCTGGATAATTCAGATATCTTAGTGATGTATGACATATTTCCCAGTGTGATACTATTGGGGCCTAGCCCCATGTTACCGGTTTGGTTCCATCCTTGTACGATTTGATGGGATCTTCCCATCCCTTTTGTTATTATATTTTCTCGGATCGACATGGTTGGAGCAAGTTCATACATTGTTTTATTAGGAACCACTTGCTCTTCTTCAGGAAAATTGAGTAAATGGTTGAGGTTCCTAAATGTTTAGTTCACTTTTCCTATTTTTAAATTAGTATATACTTTCTTTAGGATATACCTGCAAAAAGAATACTCCTGGTGGTCACCTCTCCTAGTTATAGAGTATAAATATCCATATTCCCTATGATAGATGTCATATTTTGGTGTTAAAGCCAACACCAAAATAAAGCCAACTATGGATTCAAAACCGCAAGGCTTGGCCATCTTTGGTGATAGATATATTGATTACTTCAATTTGTTTTATTATTAGTAATATATTGAATTAAATAAAATAGCTTTAAAATTTTCAATAATCTTATTAAAAATATATAATTGATAAAATTTAAATTTTTATTCTGCAATATTAAGTAAATTTCAATGATTTTTTATAATATAAAATATATATTATTATTATTATAAAATAAAATTATTATTTATAGTTACATATTTAAATTTGGTCATCTTACAATAAATAAATCAAATAATATTATTTTAGTGTTTGATTGATATAAAATAGTTGATTTTCGTTTGACATTAATTTTAAACATCACACAATTTTAAAATTTCAATCTAATATCATATAAAATATAAAAATTATAAAAAAGTATTATTGCATAAAAGAAACTAATATGAGGTTTTTTTAAATTAATGTTTAAATATAAGGGTCAAATATTTCAAATATTTTGTAATATAATTTATATTATAAAATATTTGCATATTTATATGAATTTATGATGTCATAAAAATTATTACTTAATCACACAAAAATAACATTATATAGTTTGATATAATTTAATATTAAAACTAATATATTTCTCATATTCACTAATATTACAAGGATGATTTTATTTTTTGTTTGTCATACAAAAATGAATATTTTTATGAAAATGAGTTAGACATGCATAAAATTATTAACTTATATGATTATAAAAATTATAATATTTTATAAGATAAGAATTAATGTTGTTATTCAATCATTATTTAAATTTTATACAGAAAAAAAAACGGAAATTAATTAAAAATAAGCTCCGAATTCATATTTCAATGGATGATTTCAAATTGTTTTCACATAATTAATTTAATTAATAAAAAATCATATTTTTTTATCATATTTGAAATTTTGTTCAACATAATATGAAAAATTGATAATTCAATATCATTATGAATAATTTTGGTTAAAGTTTTAGTTTTGAAAACTAAATTATGATTTAATCATAAAATTATCAAATTTTATATCATTTGTAAATGTTCATTGGCTTTGCATGCAAATTTGATTATTATTGATGATTAATATATTCTATTATTTTTATCAAAAATATTATATAAAAAAATTATTTTAATGATATATTATTTCAAATTTTATTTAAAAACTGAAATCAATTTGCACAACCACACAAGAATTTAATATAAGAAAATTAGCAAAATCAAAAACTCATAAAATTCTTCAATAATTATTATTTGCTAGTCTCATAACTATAGAATATTTGAAAGTTGTATTGAAACT